GCTGGCTTTTTACTGACCGAGCCATTACCACATTCTAATTGATGAACAGTGATGCCTTGTTGTGGTGGCCCTGCCTTTCCCCAGTAGCTATTGCGTCCTCTTCTGTGTGACAATCGGCCATTTACATGTCATCTTTGGAGATGTGCCTGTTTCAAACCTGTGTTCATTTTTAAATTAGATTGAATGTCTTTCTGTGGCTCAGTTTATAAGTGTATATTGTATATACTAGACCTTCAGCTGACCTCTCCTCTAATTCTGTAGGTTATCTTATCTTTTTATTTTATTAGTGTTAGTGTATTTAAAACACAGAAGTTTTTAAACGGTATTATTATGGTTAATTCATCTTTGCTTTTCTTCTTTCTCACGTGTATGATGGGTATGTGTGAGTATGCATGTTTGCATGTGTGTGGGTGCACATGTGTACCAAGGCCTGAGGTTGATTACTTGGACACTGAGTCATCTAACACTAGGATTGCGAATGTTCAAGAGACATTCAGCTGGTAGATGGGGCATAGTAAATTGTTCATGGGAGGAGTATATGGACGATGCCTGAGACAGAGGGGCATCATTTACGGCCTTCAGCCCATTTGCTAGAATTCAACCGCAGGGGACAGCAGAGAGGATGGAGAATGTAGTTTGGCTTACACCCAGGACTAAAGGAAAGGCCTGACCAGCATGTATCCACTTTCTGTCATCTTAAGTTTTGCCTCTGAGCTGCTCTATTTTGTGGATTTCTTATCTTGAAGTCACAGGTGTTCACTTCAGTGTAAGACACAAGATGAGTCCCACACCTTTGATAGTCTTACTTTAGAGTTTGTCTTGGTGGGCCTAGAGGGACAGCTCAGCAATTAAACACTGGCTGCTATTGCAGAGGACCTGGTTCAGTTCCCAGAACCCACATGGTAGCTTGCAAACGTCTGCAACCCCAGTTCCAGGGGATCCAATGCCCTCTACTGGCCTCCAAGAGCACTGCATGCATATACTCAGGCAAAACACCCATCCACAAATAAAAAGGAAAAATAAATACGATCTTTTAAAAAAAGTTGTTTGCCTAGGCTTGGTCCATTATTTTTTCACAGAGATTCTAGACTCTGTTTGTGAAACTCTATGAAGAAATGGATCAAGTTTTAATGAGAAACCAATTCATATTGAAAATATACAGCCAACAAAAGATTGCCCTCTGCCATATACAAAGAACTAGGATAAGCTCAGTATAAAGGTGGGTAGACACTGTGGATGGGCATCTTAGGGAAGAAGAGAAAAAGCTTGAATATCAGTAACTAACTGAAGAACAGCATCTCAACTCTTCAGCCTGATGGAGACTTAAAATCAATTAGCGACATAGCCAATGGATGGCAAAATGGAAGAGCAGTGACGTTATCTGCATTCACTTGGCTGTCTGGGAGGCAAACCCCTAAGAGCAATGTGGAAAGCATGTGTGCTAAGGGTGGCTGAGCACGCCGCCTTCCGTCCAGTCCATTTCACCAGTAATGAGATCGATACTGCCTTGTCTTCCTCAGGATTGGCGGTCCATTTGTTATTATTCCCACCATTTTCTGTGTGAAATGGTTCACCATACTTTATCAAAGCAATGTATCCCATCTTCTTTTCAGCCTTTCATCCTGACAGGATTCTTGGATTTCCCTCACCATTCCCCCATTTTTCTTTCCATGTACTGCAGGCCATCTGGTGTTAATCTTTGAAGACTTCCAAAGTTCCTTGGATAAATGGACTTATTTAAATGACTAGCTGCAGAAATTAAAGTTAATGACTAACACATAGGAGCATACAGTGTGCCAGACAGTAATGTGTTGTGTCGCACTGACTCATGCAAGAACTTTAATTTTAATTTTCTCATTTTATGTGTGAGGGCTTCCCTACATCTGTGTACACATATTGTGTGGGTACCTATACCCAAGAATGCCAGAAGAGGGCATCTGTTCTCCTGGAACTAGAGATACAGGCAGTTGAGAGTGACCTTATGGGTGCTGGAAACTGGACCCTGGTCCTCTGCAAGAGCTCTTAACTGCTGAGCCATCTTTCCAGACCCTGCAGCAACTTAAAAGTCCTCTGGCATTAACTTTCAGTTCTCACGGTAGTCTATAAAGTCAATTTTCTCATCCCCCTTGTGAATGAAGAAACTTGTGCAAGGATATAGCAGGTGTGAGCAATGATGTCTTTGCCTTGGACGCCTCCCATGTCTTCACCTGGCTGGTGATCTTGCTGTCCTGTGGCGAAGTGAAAAGGTGGTTAAGCCGCCTGCCAAGTTCAGGCCAAAGTGGAAGGGGGGGGCGTTGGCAGGCATGAGGCGACTAAAAAAACCTGTCGCTGCTAGCTGCCTGAATTCTCCAGCACATTTGTAGTTGGTTTTTTGTTTTCTTGTTGTTTTACTCTTTCTGAGCAGGTGCTCGGTGCTATCTGCATGTGGTCAAGTACTCTAGCATTTGTAGACTTCAATGACCATCTCCAAATTCCAAGTGCTCTTCTCTTCCTGAACGTACATCTTTCATGACTGGCTAATGGAAGCCAGTTTTCAAAGAGTGGGCCTGTTTGTTGCCAGCTGTATGGTACTAGTGGTGGATGGAATCACATTTTTATGCTTTTCTTCCTTTTGAGGTGCTAGAGACCTGGTCTTAAAAGAGAGGTGCATAGCTTCCTGATGTGCAGAGCAAGCCCTTCCCAGCCTGAAAGACAGCCAAGTCACTAAATTGACATGTTCACTGAATAAATTGCATGTAACAGCATGATGCCAGATGCGAGAGGATTTGATAGCAGGGCGTTTGAACTCTGGAAATGCTACCAAAAACATTTCTGTTCTTAAGAAACGTTTGATAAGTTGTTAAATAAAAGACTGTGTGAGGATGTGTGCCCTCATCTCAGCTTCCACCGCACGTTCCATTGAATACAAGATGATCGTGGCGGCAGGCTACATGTCAGCTAATTCCCTGTGAAGCATCTCTGGTGGCTGAGCCCCTCTTACCTTGGAAACACCCCCACAAATGCTTAGAATGGCTCTGAATTCAGGCGTGGACTGACTGATCGGTTGCTGTTTAATTCTGCGCCCACTTTCCATCTTTTACTCCTCAGATTCACGCTGCTGCTCCCCGACACCCCAACCTGGACATCGTGCTCTGTCTGCTTCTTTACCTGATGCCAGCACCACAGACCCTGCTCTGTGGCGTTTTGGTGCTCCTTCTGGGCTTGTGGCTGTGTTCGGAACTCTTTAAAGCCATGTACAGTGACCAAAGAGAATTGTGCAATGCCAGCTGCTTCGAGCAGTAGCGAGTTCTTTATTTGCCATTCTTAAAGCAGCTTTTCTCCCAGAACAACACAAGTCTCACCAATTTTAAGGAGACCCTCAGGTCTCCCTGGGGAGACAAACAACAATCTCATACTCTACACAGTTGAATGAAATCTCCAAATATCGTGAATGCTGAGGCCATTGTAACAATGCGATCATTTTCATGCAGGCTAATATAAGTGAAATATTGTGACCCTCCTATCAAAATGGTGGAAACGAATTTAGTCTCTCCCTCCAGTGCCTTGTACTTTTTCCAGCTGTCATCACTTGCTTTTCGAAGTCCACAGTTCTGATCCTACAAAGGGGTGGGTGTGTCCCACCCGAGTGCTGATCAGCCTCTGTCAGTTAGCAGATGAGGCCCCAGATCTCATACCAGAGGAACATTTGGGAGACTTCTCTTGCAAGGAAAGTTCAGTGTTGCCTTTAGGGGTCACTAAACGTCCCAAATGTTTTAGAAGACTCAGGAGGAGAGTTCAGACCACACTCTTTCCATTGAACTCTGACACAAGCTGATATTCCAGTTTACTGTATCCCAAGAGCATCAGAGCAACTAATTGGGCCAAACTGTCCCACCAACAGAGAGACTGGTCCTGTATGGAGCAGCAAACTGCAGCTACCCATCCATTTCTTCTGCCACTTTTAGAGGACAGGGGTTTAGTTCTCAGCACCCACTGGGTGGCTCACAAATCCATCTGTAATTCCAATCTCAGAGGAATCTGATGCCCTTTCCTGGTCCCTATGTCTACTGCATACATGTGGTATGCATATGTATAAGCAACAAAACACCCATAAAATAAAACTTAAATGTTTTCAATAAAAATAAATAAATAAGGAGCAAGGCAAGGAGTTCTTAGCCTTTAGACCAAATGCCCCTACTTATGTCAAATATGTCTCTGTCTCTTCTCCCCCCTTCCCCTCCCCCTCAACCCCTACCCACACCTCCACCCCAGGCCTCCTCTTCCCCAGGTCTTGCAAACATTTCCTCAGCCAGGGAGACATTCTGTAACACCCATCACTGGCTATCTCTGGAGGTTCTAGAGATAGAACTGTGGATAAACCAACTTCAGAGAAAAACTGCTCAGCTAAAAGCTGTATCGTGTCAAATCCTCCAAACAGCCCTTGTCATTACTCTCCAGACCTTGGCTGTAACGACTCTTCACATAGCATTTATGTTGTGTTACTAATATGTAGGCATTGCCAAAATTCTGGGCATGATTTAAGGGACATGGGAGCCTCTATAGGGTGTGTGCAAACACCATGCTATTTTACACAAGGAGCTTGACTGCCTCTCATCCTGTGATGACATCCACAAGGGGCCTGGGGTGACTGTGTTTTTACTCCTCCATCACCCACACTCTGTTTCAGAAGAGCACTGCTCCCCACCCCCACGAGCTCCCCAGTTGATGTTTGTAATGGCATTGTTATACATACATGTAAGCAAAGCATGTGTGTGTGCACATGGGGGTACAGTTGGTATGGTTCCCCTCATTGCAGGGGGTCTGAATGACAGATATGTAGGTCCTGACTAAAGGGATAGCTTTTCCACATCCATTTCCAGGCGGTTGCTTTTTAAGGTCACCCACTGAAAGACTTGTCTAACGCAGATGGCGGCCTTAGGATTGGCTGGCGAGCCCGGGTGGCAAGTGGGCCCATCCATTTTTCATGAAGTTATAATTAACACGCTATCTGCCTCCCACAGGTTCAGCCTTTGGGAATGAAGAGCAGCCACCTCTGAAGCCTGTTCCACCTTCAAAGGACACACCCAAGGGAGCTGGCCGGGCGGCCCCTGCACCTTCCTCCAATGCAGCAACACCACGCAGGAGTTTACTTCCGGCACCAAAATCCACTTCCATGCCTGCTGGTAAGACCTTCTGCCTCCCAGGAGCATTACAGGGGAACACCCTTTGTGCATAAAGGTGCAGTCTTTGAAAGCCCCTATGTACATCAGCCATTTAGAAGAGATGACAGATGGGTGTTAAGGTCATTTCAAGTTAATGATAACACATTTGTTTTCAAAGCCCCTCAACAGAGTCATGTGTTTAAACTCTCACAAAAACCTCCCACTCCTTTCCCTGTCTGGTAACCCTCTGAGTGACACCATCTTGGTTTCAGAAAGCAAGAGTCAAGCTATTTTTTAAGAAGACTGTCACTTGGCTAGGGGGGAGAAAGCCTTTGCTCTCAAACCCCTTTGAAGGGCTTTGGGGCAAGCTCAGCCTGGGCCTCAGAACTCAATGGGGGACTGCTGCCCTCTGTTGGCTGTGGACTTAAACCCACAAAACTGGGCAGGCCCCAGCAGATTGGCAGCTTAAAGCCCCAGCTGTGTGTATGACTGGTTCCATGTCAGCGGAGCTGACGACCTGCCTCTCCATGCTCCCACATGTGTGTGGGGACTCCAGAGAAGCCATCTGTGGTCAGACACTGCCCGGGTGGTCCGGCTTTGGCTACTTCCTGCTTTCCTCCTCCATATCTCACACAAGGAACCAGTCCACCCCCAGCAGTGTCTGTAGATATGGTTCTTAGTTTTCCGTTGTTGGCGCTGTGGAAGACAGAGTGGATGCTGAGCCCGGATCCACTGTAGAGACCTCATTCAGATCAGTGCTTTTTCCTCCCTCTCTTTCTTCTGTGACGATGGCCATATGTCTGCCATTGTACATACATAAACACATATGGGCTTATGAGCTCTTAAAAATGGGATGGCATTACAAGCTGAGAGACCTGGTTAGGTTTTGTTGTTTTTGTTCCCCTTTTGTCATCTTGACACAAGCTAGAGTCACTTGGGAAGAAGAATGTTAATTGAGAAAATGCCCTCACCAAATTGCATATAAGCAAGCCTTGGGGCATTTTCTTGATTAATGACTGATGTGAGAGGGTTTGCCCAAGTGGACAGTGCCCAGCCCTGGGCCTGGGGTCCCAGGTTGTATAAGAAAGCGTGCTTACCAAGCCATGGGAAGTAAGCCAGTAGGCAGCATTCTTCCGTGACCTCTGCTTCAGTTCCTGCCCTGACTTCTCTTCATGATGAGCTACAATCTGCAAGATGAAGCAAATCCTGTCCTCTCCAAGTTGCTTTTAGTCAGAGAAAGCAAGGGAAGACACTGAAAACCCCTTATCTGGATACTGAAAGTTCAAACTATTGCAAAAATCTGAAGGCATTTGAACATGAATACCATCGCAGAAGTAGAAAAATTATACAGTTGCCCTCACCTTTGTAAGGATTCAGGCTTTATGCTTACTTTGCCCCCTGACAACTAGCATTCAGGCAAGATACTTAGACAGCTCAAAGGGTCCTGTGTTGCGTGACTACATCATGCATTACATGGCTGCATAAGGACTCTCTGTACGTATGTGCAAGCTTCCCCTTTTAAGCAAACACCTCCAACCTGTTCGTCCTTTCTTCCCCCTTTTCCCCTTCGTCTTCTATCTCTGTTCCCAGTTGGCCAACACCTACCCCTCCCTTTGTTCCCTTTCCCAATCAACTCCACGTGGGTTTTGTTGAGTTTTGTGATTTGTGTTTCATCTCCCGCAGCTGCCGCAATACAACAACAACCTTATAGGTTGCATTCCACATGTGGACCTACTAACAACTATTGTGTAAAATTACCTCAAGACTATGTGTATTCGGTATGTGTCACACATATGTGAATTTGGTGTTTAGACTTGGGTGTCAGGTCTCCCAAAGTCCAAACCCTTCTAAACCTTTGATCCACTTGGGTGGGGATAGAGTGTTATGTTCTAAACCTTTGGTTCCCAAGGAAGAGAGAGGATAGAGTGTTGTGTCAAGGTCATTTCAATTTGTATCTCCCTGAACTCTCCCAGATGAAGCTCTGTGTTATTGCAGCACCTCATGGATCCCTTTAATGAGATTTAAGTAGTATCATTTAGTCTTGTTCTTTGGGTAAGGGTAAGATATGTGTTAATACAGTGTCTCTATCCCCTGCCTCCATGACCGGGTCACTGTAGGCACTTAACATCTGTTAGTTAATGGCTGAATAATTAGTGAAAGAATGTGCATCTTGTGGAAGTTGAACCATTCCATCTGCTGTATTTGAAGCTTGCCCCTACTCAAACTAGAAGGCAGTTAGGCAAGAATATGGTTTCCTTGTTGTTGTAGTTGCATGATGGCCGTGAGCCACCTTGTGTTGGGAATTGAACCTGGGTCTCCTGGAAGAACAGCCAGTGCTCTCAACATCTGAGCCAACTGTCCATCCTCACCTATGGCTGTTGCATCAACCCTATAGACCAAGACCTCTCAATCTTGAGTGTACCACAGCCATCAGTAGTGCTTAGAAAACTGTGATCGCTAGGCCCTGGACCCAGAATTCATGCTTCACTAGACATGGCTTGGGGTATGAGAATTTGCATTTTTCTGGAGCTCAACCTTTGAACCATTCAAAATAGAAAGATAGGAAGGAATATGGACAGGGCAATCCTTAGAAAAACAAGTGAAAATAGTTTTTGGTCATAAGAAAGGGTGACCCACTCCAGTTATAACATACAGTAAACCTAGAGGGGACTGAAATATCACACCCATTTGACACAAAAATCTAGAAGTGTGGCTATCTACCAATGACAGCCTTCCTCAGGCATTCCTGGCAAGAATATAAAATATTCCACTGCTTTCAAGAGGATTTAGCAGTCTACAGAATCATAAATGCATGTGTTGTTTGATGTCCCAGTGTTGGGTCTAGGAATCTTCCCCAAAAGCAGATTAACAAAAATCCAGTACACTTGAGGGGATTCATTGCATTGTTGTTTAGTATTGGAGAAGACTGAAAACACCTCACCTGCCTGTTCATAAGAACTGCATGGATGTGCTCCCAGGATGCACTGCACTATGGCTGTCCTAAGATGCAGGGTTCTCTCTAAATAGGGACATGTTATACTATTTATGTGTTTATACTAAGAAAAAATAGAAAAATAAGCTATGAGTTTTTAAAAGATTATCCATAGGGGAAAAGAGAGATTAAGAAGGAAAAATTGAGATTGAAGGCAATGACAGTATTTGGACACTTGTTTTTTGTGCTTGACCTAAAAATCATCTGAATATTGAGCATGGTTGTATCTGGATGCCAAGTTTGGAAAGAGCAGATCTGAACAGTCCTGCAGAAGCTGAATATGGTGGTGTGCATAGGTTTCATCTCAGTGCTCAAGTGGCAGAGAGGCAGATGGATCTCTGTGAATTTGAAGCCAACATGGCCTACATAGCAAGTTCCAGGCCAGCCAGGGTGAAATAATGAGGCCCCATCGCAATTAACCAATGGATCAATGAAGACATGAATAAATAAATAAACTGTGAAGCCTGTTGTGGCAGAACCATGCAAATGAACAATTCCAGATGACTTACCGCAGCCCAATGATTTGGCATGCTTCCCTGCTTGGATATTCCCTAGGTTCAGAAAGATTCCAACAGGGATGCCTTAACTTGTTGTCGGTGATCTATCCTGTTAGTGGCAGTGCTGCATGGTGACTCCACATCCTGACTGTCCAAGTTTGTGTGCCACAGAACAAGACAGTGTAAGGACATTGTGGGTGGCACATGAACTCATCCACTGTGGATCTTTAAGAAATCTCTGCTCAGTTCACTGGAAAGTTTTAAATAACAAAAGCAACAGTAGTGAGGCCAGACTGTATCAAAATCTATTTACCATTTAAAATAGGCATGAGTGAGCTAGCCAGGTTGCTCAGTTGATAAGTTACTTGCCATACATGCATGAGAACTGAGTTTGATCCCTGGAAACCGTGTAAAACAGCACCAAGGAGGAGAATGGCAGATCTTGGGGCCTCTGGTGGCCAGCCAACCTGATATGTGAGTTCCAGACCAAAGCGAGACTGTCTCAAAAGAGAAGGTGGGGAACATTTAGAAAGATACCTGGAGTTGACCTCTAGTCTCCACACACACACACACACACACACACACACACACACACACACACACACGAGAGAGAGGGGGGGAAAAGAGAGAGAGGGGGGGGAGAGACAGGGACAGGGACAGGGACAGGGACAGGGACAGAGAGAGAGAGAGAGAGAGAGAGAGACTGAGACAGAGCTCTTAATAAATAAATGGTTCCAGGCTTAAGACAGGAAACTTTAGACCCCAGGACAATGGGTCACATCCCAGATGATTACATGGCTTGGGCTCTGAGGTTGAGCATGAGTTCATAGATAGTACGCATCCTTATTGTTTTAACCCTTCTCCAGGGAACACCTCCTCCTCTCCCTCCTCCTTATCTGTTCCTCCCCCTTTTCCCCCTTTTTCTTTTCCGTCTCCTCTTCCTCTTCCTTTTCTCTTCCCCCTCAGCTTCCTCCCATTCTCCTTCTTGTCTTTCTTTTTTCTTTGCTTTGCACAACACAGGTCATCATCAAACTCTTTTCCCACTGAGCTGTGTGCCAGCTCTGGCAGCATTTCTGAACTTGACAGTGCCACACTAGCGGTGGCTGAGCCTCCATGCCCCAATGCCACCTTCTTAATGACACTCGTCTACTGTTGAAGACTCAGCCTGTTCCAGCAGCAGAACAGACCTCAGGGGTGCTCAGCCACACCCTCTAACCTGGGTTTCTAATGGGAAGTTTTTGTGAGTGATATTTTATTTTCTGTCTCATTCCTCAACAAGAGTCTAATCACTTGCTGTCCCCAGGATTTAGATGCAAGGATAATTAGAGCGGCCTTTCCCTTAGGAACTCACAGCAAGGAAAATGGATTTATAACTTAATAATTAGGGTGAAAGCAAGAGGCTCATAATCTTATATCTGGAGTCTAGTTAATTCTAGCCAGCCGAAAAGTCAGAGTGAGGCAGGGGTGAGGCAAAGTGGCTTGCCCTTTATTGATGGTTTCTTTAATCAGTTTTGTATGTTGCTTGTTCAGAC